TATATTATTTTTTTATTATTATTGCTACTGTATTATTATAGAATATAATATAAATATAATATATATATTTTGACACTAGATTCACAGTCTACATGTTTTGCATTCATGAAAATCATTTCTTATTGTCTATAATTCCTGGAATATCTGTTGTGTGTGTTTAGTGTTAGGAATGCAGCCGCCTCTCCCGACAGCTGCGGTCAGAGAGCTGGTTTGCTCCTGTCTGCATCGAGACCCTGTAGCGGCAGATCTGCGCTGTAGCCTCTTCGTAGCCGCCGTCCAGAGCTACAAACGCGATTCAGCGCTCAGACCCTTCCCTCCTCGCTACCTTAGAGGAGAGGTCAAGGACTTTGAGGAGCTGGTAAGACGCTCTAAGGATATAAACTCTCTGTGCTGTTGGCCTTTCCAAGCAGACTCATTTTACAGTTTTGATTATACTGTGTTCCTCACAGCAAAAGGATGTGGATACTTTGCCAAACGTGAGAGATCTGGTGCGTCTGGGACACGGTGATGGAGATCATCATCTGGCTCTTGTGCACTGGGTTCTCGCCTCCAAGAGTTTTGCTGTGAAGACCCTGCAGAAAGAGGAGGTATTGCTAAACTTCATTTAAAATTGTGCATTCTGCATATGAATCTGATTCAGATTCCTCTTAATGTTGTTCAGGGTGCATCAACACAAGCACTCTGTGTTTATGATTCACTGAAAGTAACCAGCTCATAAGATTCATTCTTTCAGCGATAGCGCAACACTGATTTTGCTCTGTGTTTCTGATTCAAAAACACAAGTAAATAAATAAAAAGAACCGATTCATAAGAGTCATTAGTTTAGACTGCTCTCTCTGATCATACTGTATGTTTGTGATTCACTAAAAAGAACCGGCTCATAAGAATAATTTATTCGAGGATAGATCAACAGTGTTTGCTCTCTGTTCTTGTGATTCACTGAAAAGAACCAACTCATAAGAATCATTCATTTGGACTACACTGGTATCACTCTGTGTTTCTGATTCACTAAAACAAAAACAGCTCAAACGAATCATTTGTTTGTGGATGGATCAACACTTAAAGCACTGTATGTTTGCGGTTCACTAAAAATGACCAACTCGTAAGAATAATTGGCCGCGCTGGTGGATGAGGCTCTTTTAGACCTGCTTTGGATGCTCTCCAGACAGGCTTTCTGATTATTATAGAAGACTGCAAATAAGAGTTAGACTCTACCTTATCAGTTCATGTTTAGATGATATGTGGGAAAATGATAATTATAATTCCAGTGTTATCTGCTTGCTGGTTCAGCAGTTACACTGTAATTAAAAATGATGTAAGCCACTTATCTTTGGTTATGATTTGATATTTCAGACCTCACTGTTTGGGGAGGGCACATACCTGACCAGTGACCTCAGCATGGCCATCCTTTACAGTCCTCATGGTAACGGATGGAGGGAAAGCGTTCTCGGGCCTTTGATCAGCTGCGTTGCCTTGTGTGAAATCATTGATCATCCTGATTGGTTTTGATTCAATAAAAAGAAATGGTTCAAAAGAATCATTCGATTGAGTATGGGGCAACAGTGGTAGCACCCTGTGTTTCTGATTCAATAATAAAAATTAAGTCATTCGTTCAGACTACACTGGTCAGATTGTATGATTTGATTCAATATAAAACATTCAATAAAATTCAAAACTTTATAATTAAAGAGTCATTAGTTTGGATTACACAGTTCACACTGTATGTTTTTGATTCACTAAAAGAACCGTCTCATGAGAATAATTTGTTTGGGGATGGATCCACACCAGAAGCACTCTATGTTTATGATTCACTAAAAAGAGTCATTAGTTTGTTCTACACTAGTCACACTGTATGATTTGATTAATGTAAAAACAGAACCAGTTCATAAGAGTCATTACTGGACTACACTGGTAGCACTCTATGTTTATGATTCAGGAATTCGTTCAGGAATGGGATTAAATCGTTTGACTGATTGACTAATAAGACTTATAAGATTCATGTGATATTTCATTGCATTGGTGATCCTTTGATGTAAAGCTGAATTTTCAGCATCATTACTTCAGTCTTTGCTGGTCAAAAAACATTTATTATTATTGTCAAACAGTTGAAAGCAGTTGTGCTGCTTTATATTTTTGTGGAAACCGTGATACATTTTT